TTTTTTTTACTATTTGTATTCTTACTTTTTTCCCATTTTGATTTTATTGCAGTACGCATGTTGTGTCTGCTGCGATTCTGAAAGTGCGTGTGGAACAAGTTGCAGAACTGGTCCTTATTGCTACTCGTAGCGAGTGCAGAAAAAAGGTGGAAATGCACTTTGAATCATACACTCCATAGCTCATATTATCGATTATCTCATGTAATTAATATGATTTATTCTACATGTCCCACTTCTAAAAAATAAAAGGGTCAGATGCATAACTAGAGAATGTCGATGAGATGCTGACAAAAGTATCTCCTAATAATTATCTGATACAAGTTTCTGCTGCAACTCCAAACAATAAATTGGAATATATTTAATCAAATATGAATCGTATATATAGGCATATTTTGGATGCCATTCCACTATACGTTAATTCTTAAATTCTTATATCTCATTCGTTTGCCTTCCTGGGTCCCTTCACCTACCGGCGTATGGGATAATGGGAGTCTTGTCTTGTTTTGCTAATTATTATGGGTGAAATCATTTCAGCTATTTTTACTATGACAGATCTTATTGCTTGGAGTTTCTTTGTGCAGGGCTACTTCAGACTTATCCTAACGTCAATCGAGGCAAATTTGAGAGCCTGTAATGTAAGCCTTCTTACGGCGCCTGTTGACCCTGAAATGGCGCAAATCTGGTCAGAGAAGCTTGGGTTCACCATTTTATCAGCCGAAGAGGTAATCCTACTCTATCGCATATTCCTCTAGTTCATGAAATGATGAAATTGTTCAATAAACTTTTTGAACCAATACTAATTAAATATTTACTAAAAAAAACTTATCACTGTCGGTTCTTGAATAGGCGGCAATGATGCCAATTTGAACCGGCAGTGATAAAACAGAACACAATGAAACGCAGCTCTCCAGCGTTTTTTAAAAAAAAAAAGTGATAAAACAGAACGATTGTGCAGTTCTAGGATTCAAACTTGTGACCTCAATATTTTTCATCAAGTGTCCATACCATCTCAACTCAATACTCTGATGTTGATTTTGTCTCCGTTCAAGATTGTTCAACAGATCCGAGAACTCATATTAAACATTTGATATATGAAATTAAAAAAATGTCAACCATAAAGTTTTACATCTCATTGAACTCTACGATTTTGATGTAAAATTCGTCTTGATCCGACTTTATATGAAAAAGAATTATGAGCTTTTTCGTGCAAACCAAGCGACAAATAGCTACGAACTAGCAGTGATAGGTACATTTTCATTGCCGATAATGATAGTGCAGACAGTGATGTTTTGTTTTTGGAGTAGTGATTACAATTGATTTCTTTGTTTTGCTAATACAAACGGTATTATAACTCACATGTTTTTCTGTTGACAGAAGAAGTCAATGCTGGAGTCGCACCCCTTGGTGATGTTCAAGGACCTAGTCTTGGTGCAGAAACCACTTGATTGAGCAAATCTAATCGATGTTTGATCATACTACTTCAGAAATGAAAATCTGGTTCCTGCTGCATGGGAGAGAATTTACCTTTTGCAGATGATTTACCTGTTGCACTTGCACATAGCTTAGTCTAGGAGATGATTCAGGCCACAACCTTTTTATTCTAGTAGAGACTAGACAGTACACACATGAGTTGCCTATATATGTACCTTTTCTTAAGTTACATTACATATTTATAATCCTATAGATACGTACTTGGTGCGTTGTTAGTTGCGTGTGTGCAGGGCGTCATTTGCCACACATGCTTCCAGCTTGGTGTGATTGCTGCAGGTGTCCTCACCTGTATAATCGAGCGATCACACGGGCTTCTGACATGTAAAGGCGATTCGACACCTGAATGATTCATTACCCTGTTCGCTAGATCGTTTCTGTGGCTTATAAGTCGGCTCATACTGTTTTGTTATGAGAGAAAAATATTATATCATAACTGATAAGCATGGCTGATACGATCAAGCAAACATGGTGCATGTTAAGGCCGGGAAATTTATGTGATGGGCGCGAGTTCGCAGTCCAATTCTACATTTTATATCAGCGTAGGAGTCGGTCTTGAGAACAGTATATCATCTCGACGTCGTGTCATTATTACACGCCAAATTTATCTAAACTGAACTGAAAATTCCAACCTGGAAAATTTGCAGAACAAAGTTTATCTAAACTGAACTGAAAGTTCCAACCAACTTTATGGTTTGCAGACAGTGATAGGTACGTTTTATGGTTTGCAGAACCAAGTTTATCTAAACTGAACTGAAAGTTCCGACCTGGAAAAGCTAGCAACTATGCGAAGAGAGCATAGAAATAGCATAATCGATATTTCCAAAAAAAACGATAATGATCCACCAGGACGTCTATCCCGTGACTCCTGTCTGGATGTGGCTCTGTAGGACGAGCCCCATCTCTCTCAGAAAAAAAAACAAATCCTCACTCCCTCATCTGCTTATCCATCCGGCGCCCGAAGCAGCGTGGCCGCTCATTCGTCCGTCCCCTTCCCCCACTGCGCGCTTGTCGAGCGGCCGCGCCTTGCCCTTCCCCACCGGCCACGCCGCACGCCCGTCTCAGTCACCTGCGCCGCTCACTCCCTCACCCTCCGTCCGTCCCCATTTACCGTCGGGCGCATCGCTGACCCCGCCACGGCCATTGGGGCGCACGTGCCCTGGCGCCTCATGTCTTCCCCGGCCGAGCCAAGAGCACCCACGAGCGCAGCCGGTGCTGGTGATGCTCGCGCGCCGCGGCTCGCCGCCGGCTCCCACCCCAACGGTCGAAATCAACCAGCCCAGCCTTCCCTCTCCTATGTTGCACATGTATGTTTCAAGTGTTTATGACGTTTCAGATGTATGTTGTAATTGTTTTATCTTGATATTGCCAAAGTAGATCGGGGGATGTTGCACATGTTGCATATGTTGCAAGTGTTTCATAGGTATGTTACAAGTGTTTGTTCAAAATATTTCATCTGTTTCCAGACATATGTTGCAATCGGTTTTTATCTGAATGTTGCATATATTTCACACATATGTTGCACACAATATGTTCCAAATGTTTCAGCTGTTTTAGTCTCATGTTGCAGCAAGTGGTTTCATGTTACAAGTTGCAAGTGTTTTATTGGGATGTTTCATGTGTTTCACACACATGTTGCAGGTGCATGTTTCATCTGTTTTCAGTCTCATGTTGCAAGTGTTTTACGTTGTTTGGCTGGGGACGAGTCGACGGCCGTGCGGACGGGGCGCGTGGCGTCCGAGGAGCCAGCGGATGGGGGTGCTAGGTCCCGGTGGACTGGGGTGCTACGGGCCGGGACATGCTAGGGGCGTGCTCATCCTCAGCCACTCATCCCGACTCCCGAGTGTCGCCTGCGATGAAAGTCAGAGAGAGAGGAGGGGGTTAGGCCATTAGGGGAAGGATCGGCGGACGCAAAGATAGGGACGAAGTGCACTGGTGGGGCGAGACGAAGGGGGACGGGGGCGGGCTGTGCTGCGTCCTGATGGGAGAGCAATAAAACACAAAAGAGAACACAAAAGCTATCCTCAGCCTGTGTGAAACGTTTGGCTCCATCACACGAATTTTCTGGCCGCCGGATTTGATCTTTATTCAATCTGCGGTGTCTGTCTCATAGTCATGCCGCACCGACAACGCACGTATGTGTAGCTACCATGCCTACACGTACTACCTAGGCCTAGATATAAGATCGATGGTGACGACAGGCATGTAGTGTGTACAACTGATTTGGCTTAAGCTGATGCTTGTGTTGATTTTTTTGTCAAAGGAAAATACCGTTCGTTCGCTGAAAAGTATTGCTAAAGTAGTGTTGCAGAGGGTGATATACAGAAAAGGAAGGCAAGAAGGCACGTAGTCGGACAGGTATATAGAAATGTATATACGTACCGCGCCTCTTTGGTGCGTCATTTGCGCTGTATTTTTTTCACCTCATGGGTCCCACATGTCAGCTGGATTTTGGGAAACACGTCATTATCCCATATGTCAGCTTGATTTTATTTAGTAGAAAAAACTATATAGTAAGAAAGAATGGCCCCACCGGATAAATACAGTTAATTAATTTACTATCATGTTACTATGGATTAATTTTATACTTACACTAGAGTTGAACTACACTTACAGTGGTTGATCAGATGTGATTCGTAGATATTATTGATGTAACTAGTACTAAGTGAAAGAAGTTTATTAGGCACATGTTTGTCCTCCGAACCTATTTAGTTTGAATGTACTTTTATTTTGATTTGTTTGCATGAGCAGTGCTCTCAGAATTTATTTGAATTTGCAATTCATAGAAATTTTTTGGGTTTTCGTGTTCCATAGAAATTTTCTGTTCTTTGTACTTTGTTTATTTTCTTTGATTTGTTTGGTTCATGCAATGTCCTCAGATTATTTTGGTTTTTGCAATCCATAGAAATTTTTTGTTCTTTGTATTTTGATTATTTTTTTTATTTCTTTGTATTTGTAATAATTTCTTTGTATTATGTTTATTTGTTCTTATTTTTCTTTGTCCCAATTTATGGTGGATGTAGGTGTTGCATAATATAAGTGATATTAATGTTTGTTTCACACGAATTTAGCTTGTTTTGATTTTTGAGTGATTTCGTCTTTAGGATTACTCGTGTGATCATAGGTCCTCGGTCACTCAGATTTTCATTTTCATTCTATTTGTGTGATTTGTTCCGTCGAATTACTCGAGTGATCAGAGAGTCACAGATCCAAAGAGAATGCCCGGCCACACAACTCACGTGGCTAATGGCAACAACGAGCCCACGTAGACGTAGGTGACTCCAACGCCGCGCGCGGGCCCCCGTCCTGGCACAGGAAATCACCGCCGGGACACGAGTGGCTCTCGTGCAATCGCGTGGCCGGAAGGGCCCGGCCGACCACGGGCGCTGCCCGCCGCAAAGCATCGCCTACTCGCCTAGCAGCTGCAGCGGCAGCTGACAACTGCCACCAAGAGAGAAGAACCCAGTCCCGCCCCTTCCCTGCCACGGGCCCCGTCTCCTCCGAGTCCAAAGATGTCGTCCTCGCTCCTCCCCACCACCTCCGGCGGGGCTCACATCTGCCCGTCTCCGCCTCGACCGCGCCGCCGCCGGTGCTTGCCAAGTAATCGCCGCCGCCTCCGCTCGACCCGTTTCTGACGGCGTCGGCCGCCGCGCTGTCTCCTTGGCCGGCGTCGCCGCCTGGCTCGCCACTACCGTCGGCCGTAAGTACTACTGTGCTGTGCTGTTCTATGTATCCACAATCGACTCGCTGTCCGTGTCTGTCTGTGGTTGATTTGCTGTGCCCCAACCCCCAATTGCTGCAGGGGCAGACGCGGCCAGTCCATTGGACAAGTACGTCAAGAGGTACGAGTACTAATTAAGCTGTGTCCTGCTCTCTCTCCACCGGAAAACATTTCGAATTGGATTGCTGCAGGTTGTGGCATTTGATCTGCATAACACCTTATGTCCTTATCGCCTCTTGCATAACACCTTATCGCCTCTTGCTGTCCCTGAACTGCTACTGTCAGGAAGAAGCTGGAGCCTTTGGAGAGCTACGTTCCGGCTGTCCTGCTGACTATTGACCAATTTGTTGATCTGGGTAATTCACTAGTACGATGATCAGTATCCCACGGTATCATCTTATTTGGCACCTCAGCAACCTTGGGCTGATGCAAAATAAGTATATAATCTTTTGCACCATCATCAGCAAGTATGAGCTGTATTTATCCATAAGAGTCTCCATTACCATTAATTAGTACTTCGATTTGGAGTCCGTAGCGTCTGCCTGCTTGCATAGTTGCATGCTTCTCATCGCACAAATAATCTGTTGAAACTTGGCACAAGCAGACTGCAGGCCCATCTTGTTTGCTGCTAGGACTAGAAGTGGAAGTACATTTCTTTTTTACTAAACAATGCTTCTGCCTGTCATTTTTTTAAATATATGTTTGTCAATTTTTGAGTGGTTATTTTAGTATGATACAACATTACAACCTATCCATGAGAGATTCTCTTGTGTATGATTCATTGCAGAGAAATCTTTAGAATTTGAGAAACCAATGTACGACCAGAGCAGAACATTACTTCGCTCTGGACCGGCATCATCTTTGCGGGTCAACATTCGGGCAGTAAGTGTCTATTCTGCTGAATGTTAGTCAACATCACTAATCATTCATAATCTTTCATGCCCAAGGCTATAGGCTGATACAGTAGTTGGATAGAATATCTCATCATGGTGCAATTTCTTGATTCCGAATTATGCCAACCGAATCCATGTGACAAAACAAATGCAGGTGGCACAATATGCTTCTAGTAACGGTCAAGGCAAGGCTGCATCAGACGCTGTGGACGAGTGCTTACGGTAAATATAATTTGCTTTTCCTGAATGCACTTCTTTGCAGCAGAACAAAACTTATGAGGTTATGAGATTTGATGCCTGTGGTTTCCTAGAGCATTGGAAGATCTTGACTCACTGCTACTACGTGCATCACGGAATGATCCGTCAGCGTCCGTTGAAACCATGAGGAGCAAGATCAGTGTTGCCCTTGCAGCATTAGACAAGTAATAGCAAATGGAAACCCCTTCTGCATTTCAAAATCAATAGGGATAGTCACTCACATCTTACTTCATTTTTTTTGTGTGTGTGTGTTCCAGTCTCTTGCAAACGGTGCCATCTGCAGTACTGGATAAAGGAAAGGCGATTGCTGATGCATACCGGACTCCGGTGGATGATTATGTAGAGGAAAATGCTGCCGAGTTGGATCCCAGGCTGAAACAGTTGGAGGATATTCTTTAAGGCTGGATTTTGTTAGATTCAACCTCATGTAGAGTGAAATGAAGAGAAAAAAATCGTAACAACACTTCCTTTTTGCAATACTTCCTAGCATTACCATAGCTGTTTGGGTTACTAAATTCCTCGAACTTTATATGTTTATATATGTTAACATATACAAAGTAGTGCAAAAGAAATTATGTAGACCAAGGATAACCTTAGCATTACTAAACATTTGCAACATACATCTAAAACAGATAAAACACTTGAAACATACGTGTATAGTCATAGCAATATATGCAACATCCAGATCTACTTTTGCAACATCAAGACGAAACACTTGCAACATAAGTTTGAAACATCTAAAACACTTAAAACATACGGTTAAAATATGCGTGTATAGCCATAACAACATATGCAACATCCAGATAAAATATTTGAAAACATACGCTTACAACATGCTTATATATATTGTCATTGCAACATATGCAACGTCTCAGATATACTTTTGCAACATCCACATGAAACACTTGAAATATAAGTCTAAAACACCTGAAACACTTGAAAATTTGAAATACGGTGCCACTGGCGGCCGAGGCCTACCTTGTGGGGAATTGCGGTAGCCAATAAGCTCGGGTCAGGGGACGCCATCCATGCGCTCCCACCCGTTGACGTGGCTCGTCGCTCCTCCGATTCTGCTGCGCCTGCTCACGGTCCATGCTCGCGCCTGTCGGCGTGGCCTTGTGCTGCTACTCTAGCGCCGCTGCTCGCTCGGCCATAGTCGTCTAGTGTTGTCCGCTCGCAGGGGTGGGGCGTGACGCGGCCGGCGATGGAGTGCACCGCGGTGTGGGGAAGGACACGGCGCGATGGGGGAAGGGGTGCAGCGGGGCGGGGCGGAGTGGGGTGGGCGGATGAGCGGTAACGCCGCGACAGGGGCCAAGGGGAGTGGGCATTTTTTAGAGAGAGATTGGGGCGGTCCGCTGCGCAGGACCAGGATGCCATGGCTGAGTATTATGATTATTTATTTGCCCGTCATATCTTCCTACCATTCAATCTAATCATGGCGAGTTAAATTGGCTCTACGAAGCTCCTAAGGGAAACCTTATTATTTGTAAGAAAAGTTACGACTGGGTCCATGCATGCATACATTAGCTTAGAAGAGCCAATTTTAACTCGCTATACTTCTATTATGTCTTATTTAGATGCGCATGTATTCATCTCAATTCACATGTGTTGAAGTAGACTGGAGTGGAATTAAATTAAGTTACATTCTAATCCACTCCAACACATGTGGATTGAAGTGGATATATATACATCCAAACAAGGTCTTGGCGTTTTATTAGAACATTAGCTTGTTCGGTTTTGGTAGCTTATGTCATCATACTCATACATACATGTATGTAACAACTTTATTGGTAAGAAAATGAAAATCTTACTGCAATGCGGGGTATTGTTCTCAAATCCCCAGGTCACTTCCCCTAGGGAAACAAGACTACGTGGGCCGGGCCAGGATGAGTTTGGTCTTTTTTTCAGGCTCACAGAGTAAGATCAGGCCTCGTACAATCGCGCGCGATGTGAATTTGATAGAACGGAAGAGACCGAAGGTATGGAGGCGCGACGAGGGAGTCGAGGAAACGAGCACTGTCGCTCGATCCGGCGTTCTCCAGCATCCATCTCCGCTTGTCCGGTTGCGACGCAAATGCAGCGGCCTCGGGAACCGGAAGCCAAGTTGCACGGATACCAAGCAATCCTTCGATCAAATCAATCAGGGCCTGATTGGTTTTCAACCAAAATTTACCATGCCCAAATTTTGGCAAGTCAAAGCTAGGTAAAAAAATTATAATAAATTTAGCAAACCAAATATGAGAGAGTTAGCAAGTTTTGCTAGCCAACCAAAAAATAAACACAACGCCCTGCCCATGCACGCATCATCTCCCTCTCCCCCCAAAACAATCGCGCGCCCGCACCCGTTTCGCGGTTTCGGTGTCCCTCTCTGCACCGCAGTGCAGTGCAGCTATCTTGGCCTGTTCGCTTGCTCGTAAACGATCGTAAATTTCCAGCCGAGAACAGTGTTTTTCTCTTACACCAAATCAGCCAGTAGTAAATAATTCACGATACGATACGGCCTCCCGAACATGCTTGCTCGTCAGCTTCAAAGCAAAAATAAAAGCCAAACACCGGAAACAGAGCCAGCGACGCATCACCGCCAGGCACCAGCTATGCTCTCACTTCCTACTCCTACGACTGCGCCCTAGCCCTACTCTACTTTGGAATCCGCAGAGAGCCAGGATCAGTACTCCTACTTACTACGTACTGTATAGTACAGTATAATCCGTAGGAGGAGTGGTATGGTATACTACTACTACTACCAATGAAGGTCCGAAGGGAGGGGAGGAGGCCTGCCGGAGACGGGAGACGGGAGACGACGTGTGGAGGTGACTCCGGGAAGTCGCCTGCATCTGCATGCAAGGGACAAATCACAAACGTCGTACGTATAGAAGAGAGAGAGAGAACTGAATACAGTATTACGTGATCTTAATGGTTTAGCTGGTGGCTATCTGCTTCCAGAATTGGTGCGGCAAGATGGAAACAAAGGAGCGGGAGAAGGGACGCTTTGCCATTTGCGAGCTTCAGGCAAAGGTAATTGGCTTGGATTGTTCTTGAGACTCTCAAAACGCATGAGATTGTGTGCTGAACCGATTTCATAGCTATGTTGTACTGGTTGTTTCATAGCATTGGAAGGAGGATGCTGGTGGTCAAAAGCCCCTGCATTTCTTCTGTTTTCACATGCCCTTATCTGAATCTACTCTATTCAGTGATTCAGTGTAAATTAATGGCTGATATTAATGTGTCTCAATTCAGTGCAAATCCCAGTAGATAAAACTGTCACAGGATGTATTGTGTCGGGTATCGATATTAGGGATAATCAAAACAAGTAAGTTAGCGCTCACGCTGATTTCCCCGGATGGCTCGAGACATATTAAAAGGTCTCGCCCGACCCTAAGGCCGCGGGTTCCGTCTCGCCCAACCCCTTGGGTGTGGGCTCCGTCTCGTCCAAGGTCGTGGGCTCCGTTTCGCCCGACCTCAAGGCCGCGGGTTCCGTCTCATCCGACCCCTTGCGTGCGGGCTCCGTCTCGTCTAACCCTAAGGACGCGGGTTTCGTCTCGCCCAACCCCTTGGGTGCGGGCTCCATCTCGCCCGACCTCGAGGATGTGGGTTCCATCTCATCCGATGGAGACCCATACCGCCGTCAACCACTCCAGGTCCAAGCGTATGGGCCTGGGTCAAAACTCTGACGCCATGGAAGAGGCTAGCACGCCTCGTTGTAACCCGTGGCCATGACGGGCCATACCTAGGGATTCACATAAGAACAGTGTTGGGCATGCCGGTGCTGTTCTGTCTAATCCTCGTACGGACGCTGACAGACGCGTCAGTTCACCACGACGTCCACCGGGACGGAGTGGAACGCCATGACCGCCAGATGACGTATCACATGGCGCTAGTGACGAACAGGGCGGCGGCATGGAGCCGTCCCTGTTGACATCTACAGGATCAACAGTGCCCGCATGAAGGAAAATAAGGACCCGGCAATCCTGGAACCTTCTTCTCTATCTGGTTCTTTTATTTTTTCTTCTCTGTAACCCGCGCTTTTCCTTTGTCTATAAAAGGGGAAGCAGGGCGCCCAAGGAGGGGGGATCTGAACACAAGAGAACGACGCGAGCACACGGCTGAGTGGCAAGCGAGCTCTCAGCACCCGTTCACTCCTTCCACCAGAGACTTGGGATCCTCTCCCTCTCTCGTCTGTTTGTAACCCCTACTGCAAATAAAGTGCCGGTAACACGAGCAGCAGTGAACTGGACGTAGGGACGTTCCGCACGAACCAGTATAAATCCTTGTGTCCTCCGAGCACACCATCCGAGCCAGACGAGCAAATACAAATTTACTCGTCGGGGGTCCAAAAACATCGACACATTGTTAATGCTGTTACTTACATTGTCATTGTCCTGATTGTTCTTGTCATACATTTTTTAATGATTTGGAAAAAAATCTCATTAATTTGCAGTGAGCAATACAATTATCATAAAAACAAATTAGGCTTATAACTTTTTGTGCCGATAACTGATTATATTTCCTTTGCACTTTATTAGCTTCACACATGGCTCCGTATGACAAGGCGAGAGCAATGGAAATGTAACTGTTAATAATTCTGCTCCCTAGGAAGATGGTGGTACAAGATGTACCTGCCAAAGTTCTTTCATGCACCTCTGCTGGTAAATCCAACTGCTTGGACAGAGGGTTAGGCTGCTGTCGTACAAATGGTATGTCTTATTTTTTGCCACATGGTTTTCAGTATTACTGATTAGTCCATTTAATGCATCATATCTTGAGATTAAGGTTAAGTTATTGAATTTTGATATTGTTTTGAAGAAAAAATGAAATTGGGAGAATTTTAGAATAGGAAGCGGGTATTAGAAGAACCTGCAAGAAAAAATATGTTTTCAGACATTTTAGAATGAAAATTTAGATTAATATATTCTTTTTGTATTGCATTCTTTTATCTCTGCATTCCGAGTGCCAAAAAAATGGTTAAATTGCAGGAACATGTAGGCATGTACTAATCGATCTTTGTTCTTTCCATGCAGAAAGGGCTTCTGGGTATCTGGGATTATGTTAAGTTGCATGAGAAGATTACATATGATTCTGTGCACCCTCTGCATTCTGAACAGCATGAAGTAAGAATATTCCTTGATGGTTTTTATATGTCTCTTTGTTTTTTGTGTGCCAATGTAAAATGTTGCAACATAACTTGACCTTGTTCAGGATTGATACCACCAACGATGTGATGATATACAGCTTCCTCTGATGGTACTATCAGTTGCACTGATTTGGATACAGGCATTGGCTCCCCCTTGTTAAATCATTTACATGATTAGGTCAATGAATACGTATATGGATCAAGTTCCCGGAAGAAAGCAAATCAGTTAGGTGATCAAGTTCCTGGAAGAAAGCAAATATTGTCCCAG